GGCGGGACTTTAAGAAGTTCCCTCGCTCAGGGCAGGTCTCGCCGCTGCCCCCGCCTCCTCCGGCGCCCGCCCCGGCGCCCTGTGCTGGAGGTGGCCCGGCCGGGCTGGGGGCTGCTCCACGCGACGGCTGCCATCTCCCCTCCGGGCCCGCGATGTCCCTCGGGGGAGGCCGGCCGCGGGGGGCCGCTGCCGCGCTTCCCGCCCAAAGCCTCACGGCAGAGGCTCCGAGGCGGAAAACAAACCAGAAGATGGGTCCATCAATTCATTGCTAAGCCGACTATTTATCTTCAAAGAATTATATGAAATTTATAATCTGAAGAATACAGGAAAGAGAAGGGCTACCAGAAACTAGACACTGTTCAAATTAATTGTCTCAATCAGTGTCAGCAGACATTTGCTCTAAAATAATTTGTATCTCAGAAGTGTCAAGGGTGGAACCCATAAAACTTCTCTTTAAAAACAGACTTATGTCACTTCAAAGATCAGAGCAACTCTGCTTAAGATAGTAGTAGTAGTAGTAGTAGTAGTAGTAGTAGTGGGCTTCTTCAGGCTTGAGGAGTCCAGTGCTTCTCACTGCATTACAGCTACACTTGCTGAGCGTATCAGATACAGCAACCAGAACAGTCCAGTGGTGCAGAGAAGCATAGCAGTCCCACCCAAGAACGCAGACATAGAAACGAAGCTTGTTGATTGGCACCGCAGGGTAGGAAATAGCAGACTTTGTACTTTTTTACTGGACTGGTAGTCTTTTTAATACACACCAGTTTCAGAATACCAGACTTGGTTTTTTTCTAGCCTTGTCCCTGTGAACAATGCCATTAGAACATAGACCAAAGAAGTAATGGTATGGTATTAGTGCCAGTCCAACTTTAAGACTGGTTATGTATAACTGAAAGCTGTGGCTGTTGGTTACATACTGTCAGCTATTTCTGTCTATATCATGTTCCTGGATGTAGGAATTTGCATTCATTAGGCAAGAGTATAAACCTTACAGCACCTCCTGATTTAATTTTTTCAGGGATCTTTGCCCTTCAAATCTGTCTGTTTACACCTAGGTTGGTTTTTTTGTGTGTGTGTGTATTGTACAAAGCCAGTTTAGGTTGATAAAGAAAAAATACAGGCAACTGGCTTACTCGTTTTTAACATTTTTAGGTTGTTTACTTGGACAAAAATGCTGTTCAAAACCATAAAATAATGATTTTGCACCAAGTTTTGTGGTTTGAATACTGACCATTATTTCACAATGGTGAAAGAAGTAGCTCAGCTTTGAAAGCCATCAATGCACAAGAGGCCTTTGCAAAAATTTCACTCACTAGTTGTTATTTCGTCATGTGAATGCTGATTTTCTTTTACATGCATCACCTGAGCTTTGATTGCTTTTTAAAGCTATTTATAAATGTCATGGTGTCAGTTAATGAGTGAGTCATTTCAGTAAAACCTCAGTTCTGCCTGGTTGTGAAACTTCATCCAAAAGTTGAATTGAAAGTTTCTGAGGTTTAAAAAATTGAGATAAGTTTGTTTCCTTCATTTCTGTTGTACTTCTGGTTTGGGGACAGAAGCAGAAGTGGAGAAAAGATATGAAAGTGTCTGTTTTTGCAAGATTTCCAGTTTCATTTTGCAGGCTTAAGAGATTCAGATAATCACACAACTTCTGGAGTAATCTCCCAGCATAAATAACAGAAGTGTTTTCTCTTGAACAAAGTCAACCTGATTAAACAAAACATGTGATACACAGTGGAAAACAACAGAAGAAGCAAAATGGCAACATATCCAGGATTTACTTGTGATATGTTTAATGTTTTATTTTCAAATATATTACAGCAATTTGTTCTTCAAATAAAAATTACAATTAAATATAACATTTAAAAATCATTACAAATTAAGGCTTTGCTGTGAATATTTTCAGAAATGGATTATTGAACAGACTAGCACATTTAAAAAACTAACCATAACAAAAAAAAATTATTTTCCAGACTCAAGTGCAGAGAGTTTCATTTACCTCAAATCAGGCTGCATGTGTCCTGCTGAAGTCAGCCAACAATTTCGATGTTACAGTGAAGAGAGATTTGATTTACTGTCAGCAGGTCGGATGGTAGAAAGGATACTTGTAAAGGTATTTTCTTTCTCCTCTAGATGAGAGTGTAAGCCTCCAGTGTTCACATGAAGTACTCCAGAGAGTTGCTGCAGCTTTTTGAGTCATACCAGACATCAAGTTTTAAAGATACGTGGCAAAATTCTCTGTGCTGGCCAGTTGCAGGTATTCCAGGGTACCTGATCGGTAGCTGGGCACCCGTGAAAGCTCCCTTGTCTTGAACCCTTCGTTTTCCCTTTTCTGAAGAATATTTGTTATCATCTCTGCTAAGTCATCTTGTAACCGCTGCTGATTCTCCCTGAAAGCAACAGGATGGAAAAAAAAAATCAGTGATTCACGTTTTTAGTGATCCCCAGTGGTTTTTAAAGATCTCTTCTATGTTTATCTTCATTACATTCACACACTATTGATAGAAAGTGTGGGCAGAACCAAATTCAGGTTCTGTATTTGGGAATAGAATTCAGGATTTATGTGTGGTTTTTTCAGCTAGTATGGCTCACTGTCTGCATAGGAGGTCTGTAGCTGTGTCATTATCAACCTTAAAAAAATTTCAGCATCATTTACATGAAAAGGAAGACATTAGTTAGATTAAATCCAAATCAAAATAGATTCTAGCTCTCAACATCATTACTGGTGCTAGCACTTCCACTATTCAACTTCAGGTGGCCTTCAGTAACAGAGTTGCCACTTTTTAATAAATTTCTGCAGTGTGTTTGGCTTTTGCTGGAGTACCCCACATATGACAATTTTAAGGGGCAATTTTATCAGTGACAGCCTATTATGAGGAAGCAAAACCAAAAACATCATTGACCGCAGTAAGACAGCTCAAGAAGTATTTTCAGTAGTTGAATTGCAGAAGACTTGCCAATTTGATAAGTCTGATAGTCTCAACTGATCGTGTAAATTCAAAAAGGTGTTCTGAGTTTACAAAAGAGTAATTTCCTGCTCAGCCCAGAGACAAACACTTGTACTTTATATAATTGCTTCAAGTTGTACTGAAACACTGTCATTTCAAAGCAGATGTCAGAAAATTCCCACTTGGTAAAGAGTGACTGTACACAGGAGTTTAGAGCAGAAAGTAAGGAACTTCCACATTTAATGAATTTGCAGGAAATAATACAATACTTGTATGCAAAATACACGTGGAATAAATGCAACCAGTTATCCTGACTTCCATTTTGCATGGCTTCTCAAAAACAACACTTCCGCTATTACTATGTTTTTATTCAGTACTAATGCAAAATGATAGCTCAGTTCCAGGACATCAACCTCATATTTCTTTCTTGTCTCTTCTGTATTAGAAAGTAAGCTTTGGTTAAATTTTTAAAGAGTTTATGCCTGTGCAATACTACAGTAATTTTGTGCGCCTCTTCTAGCAGAATACTGCTCAAAATCCTCAAGTTTCATTCCTCCTACAGATTCCTCCACAAGAGCTTACAGCCATAGCATGATATTACAGAGAGCTGCACATTCAGTTGCAGTTATCCTCTCACTGTCACATACAGGTGCCATTAGGACTAAAGTTTGGGGAGTATTAATGTTTTTAAATTTTCTGTCCGTCTCTTGCACTTACTACATCAGCAAGTTGTCTTATAAGTCTTATTTCTCTTTCAAGGAAATAAACCTGTTAAGCACTTATATATGCAAATAACCTTCATGCATAGTCCCATGTCATGAATATTTACACGTTTATATGCACATACACTGTTAAGCCTCTAACTACTGAAAGCAAGTTGGTTGAGTGATATAAAAAACCCACAAGTGCCACAGAGGAACAGCGAAGGCTAAAGCACAAAGACAGGGAGTTTATCTTCCTTTTTCACATATAAAGAGCATCTTACACAGAAGGAGGTGTTGGGAGATTGTATTTCTTGTCCTCAGTACCCGTCAACCAGTAGGTAATCTCTGTTCCTCTGCCCTAAATATGTATGACAAAGAAGAGAAAGCACAATTTAGGGATTAGAATGCATTTTTTGTATTTAATTTACTTAAATAATACTGTATTGCACATTTAAGTGTTTGTCTTTGCTTGTTTTCAGTAACTGATGCTCACAGCAAAGAACTCAAAATCAGATGTAAGAAGAATAATGGAGGAGATGCAGCTGCACACCCACTCCCTTGTTCCATGCCCTGAAACACATGCCATGGGAGAGGTGAGATGTGCTGCCTGCCATCAGCTCCCAAGTATAAACATCTGCCAAGTGTAATAGCCTGAAATAAAGGGACTGGTAGATAGACAGTCAGATATCAGAGCATGAGCAAATTAACAATAGATTCAGCTTCCCTTCCATCAGATTAATTCAGTCCACAATTTTCTGTTACAAACCGTATGTTTCATTTATTTTCCACGTTTTTATGTTGCTTTCATTTATGACTTAGGGAGCTAGAGACTGTGATACCTATTGATCTGTATCCCTTGTTCCCCAGCTGTTAATTATGGGGCGGGGTACTCTCAGCTATATAATACTTTTATACCATCCCTCTTCTCTATGTTCATGCATGCATATGGTAAAGGTTACCTTCAAGTATGTTTCTCCTCTCACTTCATACTGGAATTGGCAGTCTGTTCTTTTCAGGATGTTAATAGTGGAACCACTTACATGAATCCTTAAAGCTAAAAATTAAAGACACAACGAAAGCTCAGTCTGGAAATGTACCACATAATCATAGTAAGTATGTGTGAGAACTGGTGCTATAGCAGAAGCTCCTCCAATTACTATCAACATATCCAATTAAATGAGAATCAATTACACTGCTGTACGAAAAATCTGACTCCACTACATAGTATCTAGGGAGGAATAGCTGGTACAGCCATTGATCTGAAATGCAGGTGACCATGGTACCTGTAGTATTTAGATGCCAAAAGGGAAAAGAATAATTGGGAGTGTTCTATACAGAGAATAGTCATGTGAAGACATTGGGCAGAAGGAAAACAAACTCGCTCTTGGCACATTTCCCTAATGGTGAAGTTGAAGACTTAATTGCTTCAACATAAAATATACAGTCAGCTTATTTACACAACAGAGCTGTAATACAATTCTAGGTCGAACTAAAATCTGCCATTCATAGAGTGAAATTAAATCCCAGACACATAAGTATCACATCTTCCAGAGGAACGCAGCCAGTGAACCAGCCTATGTAGTTCCCGTAACCAGCACTGAAGCATGAACAAGGAACAATTCTTCATTGCCCAGCAGGACAGTGAAACAATTGGTAATCAAAACAAACATGGTTTCTTAATCTTTAAAATTTCTGTGAGGTGATAATAAATTGCTCTCATCTGAAAACAGACCCTTCAGTCACAAAGTAACCAAAGCCTTTGGTCCTGCTACACTGACAGCTAAAATGTAATCCTTACGCAAGCCTGTGGATTCCATCCGTGAAGCTGTGTTCACTGTATCTCCAAACAAACAGTAACGGGGCATTTTTATTCCAACCACACCAGCCGCACACGGACCTAGAAACGGGATGCAGAGAATGAAAGAGGTGGATAAAGACACTATTTATTTGGAAAGTGTCTCACCTGCAGAGCAGCGCAGTACCTGCTGGAGCTCTGCATTCCTCACTGATGACAATACTCTGTACTTCACTTCCCAAAGTATCTGGTGGTCTCCCCTTCCACTCCAAAGCGAGCCTAGCTCTGTTTGTCATGCATAATCCAATAAGAGCATAAAAAAAAGACATGGCTGCACAGTGTTACTTGTATTTAAACACAATTTTTGTGCAGAAAAAATACAGTTCCTAACTCAGTTTTGGAAGCAAGAGGAAAAGAAAATAAGCTTCATTATGGAGGGGTGAATAGTGGTGCCTCAAAGGGCTTCCCAGTGCCTCAGTCACTTTCATCAATATGTTCCTTCCCTGGCAGCTGGTGTTCAGGTGGTTGTTGAAACAAACAAAAATGAAAATTTCCCAAAGTACCTGGGAGCTATCTGCTTTAGCTATCTGCACTTCCCCTTTGAGAAAAATGATTTTTATGGGTTAATTAAAATATAAATTCCCACATACGCTTGTCAGAACCTCCAAAAGCATAAAATACAGGCCAGCATTTTGTAGCTAGACAAGCATATCTCGCCATGGCTGATCTCCACTTTGGTCAGGAAGGAGAGATCTGTGAAGGTGTGTTTGATACAACTGGCTTTAATCATACCAGGAACAGTGGCAGTTACTCTTCTTAGCTACTCACTTAAGCTATGAATTAATGCATGTGGGCTATTTCACTACAGGGGAGCAAACCAGTGGCTCATTTAGTTCTGTTGCTCTTCCTCCAGGTACGTTGTTTTCACCCTGATTCTTCCTAAGGAAAGCGGTTGTGTATGATGTACTACCAGATCTCCCACGGATGTCTATTCTGTTCAAACACAAGGCAACAACATTGTCGTTGATCTAGCACTACTGTGTACCAGAGTGAATTCCAATGCGAATCCAAACAGGCAGACCCGGCAGATGTCTCAGTTCAAAAGATCCCATGAAGCTGAGGATGTCCAGAGCCATCATGGAGATGTCTACTGCATGCCGGTTGCCATTCCTCTTTGGTAAACCACTCACCACCATGTAAGCATCACCAATGGTCTCTACCTGTGGAAATAGAATTAGAACTCACTACCTGCAGACACAGAAAAATACATATTTAGTTCAAAGCAGAAAGGTTCTGTCTGATCCTCATGTTCATGATTAAACATTTCTTCCTGGACAGCAGGATTGATTAGTTTAAGGTAGGCGACATCTTTTTGGTATATGAGTGTTTATAACTGTACTCAGCATTCCAGTTAATGAATCTGTGACCACCTAGTATAGAAAATTTAGTATAAGCAGGCACACTTGAATTGAGGTAATCTTGACCTGTTTTTCTCTCTTTTGTCTTTGCTTAGAAGGCAGATTCCCAAAACCACCACATCATCCAATTTGATTTGTGTGTCCCTTGGTTGTTAACTGAGCAAAAGTGCAGAGCTAATCACCTTGTAAACATCATGATGGTCAAGAATGTGGTCAAAGTTCTTGTAGATGTCATTCAGCATATCTACCACCTCCATAGGGGTGCTGTATTTGCAGAGTGTGGTGAAGCCAACAATGTCACTGAAGTAGATAGTGACTTCTTCAAATAGCTCTGGCTCTACCAGGCCAGTCTCCTTCAAAGACTTTACTACTGGCCTGTGGAAATAGAGAAGGCAGGAAGACAGATGAGTAGTCTGTGTTTAATATTAAAGGTATTTTTTCATGCAACCCAACCATATCATTGCTTTCTGTGTAGGAAACATCAAATTGTTTGCTGAAAACTGCAGCTGTAATCACATTTTAGAGGCTTATAATACCTTTCAGCTAGGGACCTCAAAACACTTACTAATGTTAATTAATGTGCTACAGCCTTACAACATCCAAGTGTGCTAATAACCATGAGGAAACTGAGGCACAGGAAATGGAGCTTCTTGGCTAAGGTCAGAAATAGGGATATTCAGTCAAATTTAAAAGTGAAATTCTAAAACTTCTGACATGTAGATCTACGTTCTACCCACCCAATAAGTAAAACAGGCATATTTTTCTGTTCCCCAGCACAGAAGTAATTTCATCCTGATAATTACATCACCTCATCCTGATTTCAGATGAGATATCATAGTCTGATAATTTTATGGAACAAAAGTTCAGTACAATGACAGTCAATATCTATTCAGAGGGACCTCCATTTTCCTGCATTTCTAAATCCAGGAAAATATATGTTCCTAGTGCAGATATTAGAAGAGAATAAATGAAAGAGACACAGAAAATTACAGATGTTGCACAATGCTTTGTTCCCTCTACAATGAGACAATAATAGAGTGGTAGGAACAACAAAGAATGGAAGGAAACATGTATTCCTTGTCTCACAGTCTACAGACAGATAATTCAGATTATTTCAATTTTCCCCAAAACTACATTGAACAGACTTTTATTTTCTTCTTTTAATGTGAGTCACAAAATCAATACCCTGACTACTTAAATACCCTGTAAACTAGTAATGACATACCAGGATAGTTTTATTATTCTGAATGTATGCAATACCAAAATTATTGATATTATCAATATTATAATATCAATAATACTTGTCCTATACCATTCTCTGAAGCATCCGTCTAGCCCAGTATGGCCTAGCCCACCTCAGCCCCTCTTTTGCATTGCTAAACCCCAGCCTGAGGTTGGACTGCACTCCTGCTCTCCAGCTGGACACTCCTTCCACCTCATAAAGTGCTGGAGCAGAACAGAGCTCTGTGATGTGGGAATCACTGTAGATCAATGTGTTCCCAGAAAGGCAGTGAAAAAGAGGTTTGTGCTGGAAAGGGGGATCCTGTGCATGAAGAGAGGTTGGCGAAGATAACAGGTCCCAGCAACATCTTGCCATGAAACTCCACCATAGGGTGGAGACCTCAGCTTCTTCTTTTCTTCCTAGCAAGATCAGATTAGAGGGGAAGTAAATAGAAGATTAATATAAATCCCAACCCCTGCTCTCCAAGAATCAGGTGATATACGTAAATAAAATATCAGTGAAAATCCTCCTGGGCTGTTACCTTGGAAGTAACATGAAATTAAGCCTGTCTGCTCTGTCTCGCTCTGCTTTGTATAGCTCTGTCCTTTCCTCCACCAGGTGCTCCAGGTTCCGGGAATACAGCTGTAGACGCCGGATCAGGGTATCCATGTAGCTTTCATTGGTTTGGCCATGGTAGTTACTGTGAAAAACATAAATATACAGGAGCCAACAAGAAAGGTTGATGGAAGCACATTGTTGAGAGAGGCAAAAAAAAGGCAAAGAACTTCTCCAGTGTTTGACTTCCATGTAGTTAGAATGCAAAGTGCCTCAAGTGCAACATTCTTTTTTCTTGCTTGGAGAGCTTATGTATATGAATTGAAAGTCTGTGATCCACACTTGTCACTTGGAGATGGTAATTCTTAAAGCACTCTTAAATCACCTAGCCCTGCTAATATTGTCAACTCCAGGTTACCTTGGGTAATCCATGAACTTTAATTTCTAAAAAGTAATTGACAAGCTCAAATCCTGAGAGGAAGCTAAAGATAGTAGGTAGAAAATTGCCTATAAAGTTTAGATGGGGACTTCAGCCAGAAGGATTCAGACAATTTGGGGCTGTCTATGTAGAAGATAGAACAATTCAATGGATAAATTAGCAGCCCCTGGGCTAGTTTTGCTCACAAGATCCTGAGAACTCCAGTCTACTAACTCCTGGAAACAGAAGTATGGTAACACAAGTCACTCATAACACCTGTTTGTCTGGACAGCCTGCACTCACCAAAGCAATCTGAAAGTAGATGGGGCCAGGCTGACTGGAAGAGTCAGATGAGTATTGTACCCAACTGGACTTTAAAACCATCCTTACTTTAAACAAATCTTTACGTCAGGGATGCACCATCTTAGACCTGCCATGAGGAGAACACAGTGTTGCATGTGGCAACCTCTTTGCTTTTGTAGGATGGAGGCCTAGGAGCTGAACCAGGACATCTTTCTATTCAGCTGCAGTATGATTATTCAATTATGCATAGTGTAATTGTCCTTCTGCCCATGTAAAGTGTAAAATGATGTAAGTACTGTTGGGGTTTGTTGGTGAGGAGAGCTTTAAAAACTGGGGAGTCATTTACCAAGAGAAGTGATTAAAAGCTCACTGTTTGGACATAGAAATAATTAATTCAGACCAAACTCTGTAGGAACAATGCGGCATTGGCCAGGTGAAAGGCCTGTATAACCCCACAAGTTTTATCCAGCCATGGCCCTTATTATCCCACAATTTTATACCAACAAAACTCTGTAATTAATACTTCTGGTGAGTTACAAACCAGCACTTCTAGTCAGCTTAATTTGGGACCATCCGAACTCATATATGGCACAGCCCAGCTCATCCAAACTTTCTAAATCATCCTCCAAACATTTATGTGCATTCATTTCCCGAAACTTAGATGACATGAGTCACTATCCAACTCTTGACTAGAGACAGGGGGTGAATTACTTGAATGCTTTAAATCTCTAATTATCCAGTTTGCTACTTTCACAATGTACCAATTTGAGGTATGGTGATTGTTTTACCCTCACTCAGCTAATAAATGCATAGATGCTCATGTACACACATGTACGTATACCCATGCACGTGCTCACCTACTTTTCTGCCAAAGAATAGAAGAGGATCTAAGTGAAGATGCTCAGTTTTTCCACTGGCTGAATCACAATCACATCAGCTTACAAACTTAAAAATATGAGCTTTCTAACGCTTCGGAGGAGTTTGGAGCATCTTAAAAAATAGAGCCCCTGCTGCTCACCTGAATATTTTAGCCAGAGTATTCTCAATTTTCTTAAAATCAGGCCTCTTCTCTGGATCTTCCTCCCAGCAGCTCTTCACTAATGTATACACCTTCAAACAAAAAATTAAGGAAAGTCCACATGAGTAATGGATATAGAAGAACAATGATGCTAAATAGCACTAGTTCATTAGGGAATTTCTGGTTACTCTTGACTGGCAACATATTAAAATGTGTGACTAAATGTTTTGTATCTATGGTTAGGACACTCATTGCACTCACTTAAATTTAACTCTATGGTGACTAGTGACATGATCCTAACTTGAATTTGCAATACATAAATGAGAGGCAAGTAAATGGATCCAGTCTTGCAGCAAGTGCCAGATACAGTTATTGACATGGAGGTAAATGCTGTGGTAATTATATTTCCAATATCCTGAGTCTGGGATTTTCTGAAACTGGTGATTCAGCCAAAAAGAATGAGGTTCATTGCTGAATATGGGGATGTCTACAATACAGACATTTTCACCTGAGCAAGAAGCCTTAAGGGCTATATAATCAGTGGAGAGAGGTATATTTGAGGTGTGATTCATCCCATCTTAAAGATATTTAAAATAGGTCAGAAAAGTGGCACCATAAAAGTACCTGTTTCTTTCCAGTGAAACAATTTTCATGAGTTGTATTTCATTTCACTATAGAATACAGTTTTTTCCCCATGAGGTTAGGGCATTTGTCATAAAATGTGCATAGCTTTCATTCTCCCATGATCATGAGCTCTAGTTTGGCCAGGACTTCCACCCTTCACCCAGAAAAGGGCTCAATTAATTATTAGCTTACTTCCATCTGTCTTTCCCCCACTGATTCCAAGGACAGGTCTGGTCGGAAAGGCTTCACTCCTTTGCCACTCTCCACTCTATAAAGTTTCTCTAACACAGGAAAAAGATGCAAAGTTTTAAACAGAAAAACATAAGAAGGACATTCCTCGTGGATAGCATCCTATGATGTTATGAGTTACTGTACAAACAGAAGTCTTGAAGACAGTTCCCTCATTTTGATATGAATTTCAGCTTTGAAGCTTTTTTAAATATATGGCACAAGATCAAAACAGGCTGGCTTGAAGGCCTCTGGAAGCAAAATGAATAGGAATGTACACGAGTATCTGTTGGTCACGGTAGACATGGCATCTTCCCAAATGAACATTAGGCGTTATTAGCGTGCCTCTCAGCATGAAATAGAGCTATTGTAAAAAACAATGTGAAAAGCCCATTGGAATTTGATCAAAAGTGTGGAGACATACAACTCTTATCAGAGCAGTTCAAATCATCCTGCAGATGCTCAGCTTCCTTAAAACTAGGCTATTAATGTATATGGTTTAAAAACATTGCATTTGTTAGTTAATTTGTATTCTTATTCATTAAATCCATTCTATGAAAGTTATTTGTATTCTGAACATATTAAAATGCAGGCCGCATTTGCACAACTCAAATTAAGCACAGTAAGTGAGGGCTAGAGCAAAAATATCTCTCTCTGTACATCTCCTCCAGACCTCAAGAGTTCCAGAGGGAGGGATTTGAAAAAGAGAAGCAATTTTTTAGCTCTAGGGGAGAGAAAGAGAAACTGAAAGGGATCCGTGAAAAAGTGTGAAACACATTTATTAATAATGTCAGATTGTATTTTGGAGACAATTTTACTGAAGGAAGCATATAATGAGATGAGGAAGGTTTGTAATCGTGATGGTGTGTGCAAGTCTAGAGCAGCTAGGGATGCCTAAGCATGCCCAGTGTGCATGATCACCCTAAAAAGATGCAGTAGCTTACAGCTTTGTGGTACAGAAATTACAGACTAGAGAAGGAGCAGGAGACTTGAGTCTCCCAAATGCTATGGAGTGGAGAGACTGCTAAGAAATCTTCTGTGGGCTAAGAGACAGGAGAATCTGTGTAAGTCTCATGTATGCAAGAGGAATGTGTTGGATTTCCATGCTGTGCACATACCTGAGAGCGGAAGTAACAGCAACTATTAGCAACACTGCAATTAGCCAGTGGCAGAAAGTAGTGGAACAAGGAGGCAGCTTGAATTGAGCATTGGTACGTGACAAGATTTCACAGTCTTGAGCAGTGAATGAGGTGTTTCTGCAGAAGAGTGGAGCAATCAGTTGGCCTAGCAACTGTCTCACAGAGAAGTCAGTGAAGAGGACTATGACCTAGTTACTTCTATACATTAGAGATCCAGTTCTGTATGCCTGTTGTCTTTGTGGGACTTCTTTTCTCTCATTAGTAGCAATATTATTGTATGTTACATTGATTGATAAATATTGGCAAATTGAGAGAATTGGCTCACTGAGTACCTGGAAATTGAGTTTAGTTTTCCTAAGTTGATGGATGGAGGCCAAGTACAGGGGTTTTTAAACAACTCTTAAAATCTTAACACAGTCCTCGCTGCTGCCAATGAAGTCCTGGAGAAGCGGTTATATCAGTTGGCCTGAAATATCAGTATCATGTCTTCTAACTTGCAGAGATTAACTTCTGATAGCCTAGCCATTGAAAGGGAGACTTAGAAAGCAAATGAATCTAACATGCAACAGGGACATTTCTTTGCCCATTACCATTGACTCTAATTTGATATTCTTTTCCCTCTTTTTATCTTAGATATTTGCAAATTAATGCTTGCCTCAAGTTTGAGCTAATCAAATGATGCGATCACATCTCAGAAAAGCACAGAAACAGTGTCTGAGGATAACTTAATAACCACTAACATAACACAGAAAGACTGTAACTGTTGAATGAACAGTTAAAAGAAGGTAGTTTGCTATGGATTTGCTCTGAAAGTCAAAATGAGCAAGGGAAAATATTGCTCTTTCCTTTCTCCATCTATTTTAGCAATCTTTGTAAAATCCTTGCATTCATGAGGATTGTGTCTGCCTCTTCACAAGAAAAGTGCATAGAAAGACTTTTATCTTCTCTACCTTATCTTAAGCATGGAGTCCTATAGAGTTTTCTTGAGGGGGAACAGGCATTTCTAAGCTCTTTTAGGTCTACATTTATATTATAGAGTTGGTGATGTGAAATACTGTGTTTCCACAAATATGAGCATAGATTTGCAATAATGTAGGATGATGGATGTGCCCCAGAAGTTATTCTCAAACCTTTCTCAGGAAAAGAGCTATTAGGCTTTCCAGCTGCTGCTCTAGATGTTTTAACAAAAGTGAGGCGGATCTATCAGAGTGACTCAGAGGTAAAGGCAATGTCTAAACTTGTTGTTGGTAACAGTCACTAGGAAAATCCCAAACCCACACATGCTTTTATGTCAGTTCTAATATATAATAATTCCTGGATTCTCAGAACTGGGATTGACTGGGCTGTTAGCCACTCAAAAACAATGTCACAAAATGCACAAAATGGAGTTTAATGGATGCACTACCAGAGGAGGTGCTTTTTCTGACAGAAGACAAATAACTAAAAGTAATTTTGACAGTCTCGAATAAAGTCTGAATTGCCAGTTTTTAAATTCCAACTGTTCTTGGGTCATGCTGCTGCATTTTTGTTGTTCTGTGTTGACATTGCTGATTTACAATGCCTAATATGAGTGAATTATTATATGTTGTGGAAAACTCATAATAGAAAAACCTTTGTGGCCTTTAAATGTCACAGTAAGTCTGGACAGCATTGTATAATCCTAACTTCTGTAATGCTGTGGCCAAGGTGAGGAGGGAGGAGAAAGGGCAAGAAAACTCGAGGTAAACTTTATTTACAGAAAGAATAAGGACACTTGCCCCGACAGTGAGATCCTTCAAACAGGCCCTTCATTCATCACACAGTGAAAGAAGCAGCAGTTCAAGCAGCTATCAGAGACAGTGCCTTTCACAAAATCTGGAGAATGGCCCAGTTACAGCTACGCCTTCCCAAAAGGCTGCAATGGAGGAGAAATTTGTGGATTTACCTTTGTTGTCCCGGCACTGTCCAGTGTAGAAGGTCTCTCTGCGTAGGATGATTTCTTGGGCAATAATCCCATAGCTGTACACATCACCTTTCTGAGATACATCAGCATCACGGAGATGCTCAGGAGCTGTCCACAGGTCTGAAGATCCAGGTGACAAAAGGGGCCAAGTTAAAGGGGGAAGGAAGAGAAGTAATTGAAAAAGGGTGAATTAAATCACAAAGCATTGTGGTAACACATGGATCTGATCAATGACAAGATCATGTGGTACTTCTTTTTTTCTTCACACAAGTTCAGCGTTACTGCTGAAGGGAGCTGTTTGCATGGAAGCCTTGGATGCTGAAAATATTTCTTGCATCTCAGCCACATGTGAAATCTCTGTTTTCTAAACTGTAAGTTGAAAATTCATCTTTCCTTCTCACTTACACTGCCTAATTTCTTTCTCTACCTGCTAATACTCCTTTTGCATTGTTATTTAAGATAGTGTTTTCAGATATCATTTATATGATGGCTGCTACCTGAAACAAAATCATATTGTATGTTTTGTACTGTGTACAAGATGTAATGAGGCCCTACTGGATTATGAATAAAAGAAAATTCCATTAGGTTGGAAACCATGAAGGAGAGTCCAATTAGGTACTATTTTTACCTTTCCTTGGAGGCAGAATTGAATTACAGCCAAAATCAGTGATCTTCACTACCATGCGATTGTCTACTACACAGTTTGTGGATTTGAGTCGACCGTGGACTTCAGTTTTGCTTGAGTGCAGGTAAGACATCCCCTGTGGTTGATAATAAAAGAGGAAGAAAGCAAGACTACATGTGAGACACTCAGCTGTTACCAGACTCAAAAAGAATATGAAATATTAGTGTAATTTCTGTCTAAGTAATTAAGTGGCCTTTATCTGCAATGAATATGCATAAATCACAATTCCTTGTCATGGAGAGAAACAAATATTTACAGAGGAGATTTTCCAAGATGACAGAACAGTCAATATTAAGAAATGAGATCTACCATTAGAAGGATCATGTAATGGAAGACGGTCCTTCCTCTTAGTTAACAAAAGTCTGACATAGCATCTTGGGTTTTGATAAGTTTAGAAGACAATTAAGCAAATCTATTTCCTCCCACAGAAGTTTTGATTTCACTTGTAATTAAATGCTTTTTTGGTAAATTTAGTACATATTTGTTGGAATGTCACACATAAAAAGTGCTTCCAAATCCATGTTCATCACACCATTTGTGTGAGAAGAATTGTTTTTTATGTCTGTCTCATCTTTGAAGATGATCATACACCAGAGACTTCATTCAGAAACATTCCAACAGATCCTCTTCTGCAAAGCAGAGGGCTGAATAGGGGTCAATGCAAAGAGTGTAAGATGATGCACTAAGGCTTATATAAGGCAGGTGATCAGATTAGATAATCATAAAGGTGTCTTCTAACCTGACTGATCATGGTTTTCTCTATACTAGTCAACACATGTCAGCTATTCATGAGGTAATCTTGGAAGTAGGCACCATGAGGACTGGACGATGCAGTTTCAGCTGTTTCCTGAGATTCAGACTCTTGACTAACAGCACATACAGGCATACAAAGGTGTGTAGTTTGCCCCTTTTTACTCATCATCTCTGAATTCATCTCATTTGGTCTAAGACACTCAAATATGGTGCAATGCATGAAAAGGGGACAGCACTGAGGCCTAGCAGGAAAAGGACATTAGTAAGTGGGTGTAAGCTCAAGAAGGGAGTAGGTATGCTAATTTGCACCCTCTTGCTATTATTTATTCTGTTTCATCTCTCTCTTCTGAACTACTTAAGCTCACACCTACTTATAGCCTACTGCTGGTTGTTTTTCTTCCTATAGTCCTCTTTCCTGTAGCTCAGTATATGAAGCATAATCTATATTCTGTGGAAGCCAGAACAGGTACGCCCTACCTGTTTAGTTTATTCTTCCACTTAGACTCCTACATGTATAGTGGGAACTGGTAGACAGACTTTAATCTTAGCTTACATAGCTCATGTGGTCATGAATACACTGTATGACATGCTGGGTTTTCTCTCCAAATACTGGGTACCCGTAATTGGGAAAGGATCAGTAAATGCTACAAGAGATCACTGAGACATGAGCTGAGTTTCGGGCACAGTAGATGTATGTCTGAGACACAAGCAGCCTGCAAGAGGTGCAATTCCTGGAGAATGTTGTTGGACCGGTTATCCTGGACCTATCTAGACCATGCCAAAATTTACAGAGACTATGTGCGCGCTATATCCAAGGAATATATTTCTTGATTAAGCAGCTTTTATTATGCAGCTCTGATGACACTGTCCAGGATGTTTTGCCTGCTTTAGGTCCCATTTCCTCCAGCTGTGCCTTCTTCCAGCTTCTGTTTTCATCCGACAGGAAATATACCCATTGCTACAGCAGAATTTCTAATCAGTTTCAGCATCAAATGGCAAGCAAAGGTAATTTTTGCTTCCTTATATCAGGTCTTTCTTGTTAACAATTTCCGGAGGCAAACTTATAGATGTACCTAATAAAATTTTCCTCTTTCCTTCCAACTATCCTATGTACCTACCTGAAAACACAGAACCTATTAAGAACCCACAATGTGATTTTCAAAATTTATAATGACTTTCAGTGCAGCACTTGTAAGTCCTTGAGACATTCTTGTAACCTCTTCTTTCAAGCTCTGAACTGAGAACCCTTTTCCTCACACAGCGCAAGAACGTTACAATCTCTTGCACAATATCCTGCAGCAGCTCCTTATTTAATAAATAGTGTTGCAAAACCAGTGTATGCACTAATAACTGCAAGGCTTGATTACTGCAGTTCCTTCTTATCAGACCTTTCAACAGAGATCTTCTGTCACATATAACCAAATTCATGCAGATACAGTTGGTACCATCAGACCTACAGACAGCAAAGATAGAAAAGAAAACATGGAGCAGATTTAGGGCTTCCCCTTTGTCTATCCCACCTCCAGTGGACTAGAGGATGCTCTAGGAATAGAGCTTGGCTAGCTGTACCAGGGAATAGAAAAGATACAACTCCTCTGTTCAGAAACGCTGATGCAGCAGCTTCTGTACCAGATGAAAAGTAGGCGAAGTACAAGGACTGTTTAGAATCACAGAATCATAGTGATTGGAAAAGACTTTTAAGATCATCGAGTCCAACCATTAACCTATCACTACCAATCCCATCTCTAAACCATGTCCCTGAGCACCTCATCTACCCACCTTTTAAATATCGCTAGGGATGGAGACTCCACCACTTCCCTGGGTAGCCTGTTCCAATGTTTGACTGCCCTTTCTGCAAATAAATTTTTCCTAATACCTAACCTAAACCTCCTCTGGTGCAACTTGTAGCCATTTCTTCTCATACTGTTACCCGGGAGAAGAGACTAAGACCCACCTCACTACAACCTCTCTTCAGGTAGTTGTAGAGAGCAGTAAGGTCTCCCCTCAGCCTTCTCTTCTCCAGACTAAACAACCCCAGCTCCCTCAGCCACTCCTCATAAGACTTGTTCTCAAAGCCCTTCACCGTAAAAGGGCAACCATAAAAGCGGGGCATAGGGAAGTGGTGGTGTGGAGAGGAAGGAGCATATCAAAAGGAATGCAAAGGAACTGAAGGAGCTGGTCATAGGGATTTTAACAGCGTGGAGAGCTGGGGCTGGACTTGAAAAGGGCAGAAGCTAGGATGAGAGGAACTGTAGCTGAAGGGCTATGAAGTGACTTGTAAAGCAAGGAGCCATTCAAGTGAAAATAGAGAGGGTGCCTGGGAAGCTGTGGTTTGGGAAAAGTTATACAAGAAGTTCATGGAAGTGTTTAAGTCCCAGCGGATCCACCACAACATCAGGTTAAGGAATAGGAGAGGCTGGCAGATCATCCAAATGACAGTAAGTTTCCTGATATTCCTAGGTACATACAGATTTGCAGGAAGATTTTGTGAACCATCTCTACTAACATGGCTAATAATGCTCAGGAATCATTCCACAGAACAGATGTGGTGTGCTGCTTAAACTCAGATTCCATGTCCTGTTCCCATAACCAACAGTGCAGTGAAGGACTGTTTGTGAATCCCGGTCCCAGTGCAATCCCTGGGCATTTGGTCACCCCCTTCAGAAGGACTGTGATTTCTCTCTCCTTCTCATAAACAGAGCCAGTACTAATCCATATTTTCCTAGGAAACATCTGAAGGTGAACTGCAAAGGGTTAAAAAATACGGTGGTTTTTTTATATGCTCTAGGGAGGAACGGAAACTCCACTGCTGCTGTTTAAAATGAAACTTAATGCTGAATGTTAGCTCAACTTCAAAGTCATTAACAATGCCAACAAACTGTGACAATTTGGATTAAGGAAAATTTAATAAAGAGCAAGATTTTCAATATCTCTTTAGAACAGACACAGTGGAGTCATTCATTGTGGAGACCAAATCTGAACAGATGCCTGTAG